GTGGTAATCAGAATTCGTGAGCTGATAACAAGAACAGAACCAGGTAAGTGTAATGCTAGCTCTCAACGAATACTTTTTTTTTCTGGTTAATTCATGCAGTGCATTTAAATTCTGAATAGAGACCTGTCTATTGTGGCTCGGGATGCGTGTCATTAGGACCTAAGTCAAGCGAAGTACCTACCCCACCCCTTACAATGTACAGTTGTCTTAATTATAATAAGCTTCATGTGTCTTATTTCTTTGGTTAATTTCTTCTTGTGTGATTGTTTAAGCGGATATTGACTAACGATGAATTGAAAGCAAAATTAATGGAATTAAATAGTTTGTCTTTGCTGTTTTATCTTCTCATATAAATATAATGTAAAAATGTTGCTCTACGAAAAATAAATATCAATTTCTAACAATTGTTATATAGAAGGTAACAATGATAATTGTGATAATTATCACTGAACGAAAAATAATATTGAACTGCATAAATATATGTAGCGCCTGAAGAGTGCCAAAATGGGATGAATACTCTCTAATACCTCACAAATCAGTGTCAAAACACAAGCGCCCCTACACTGTTGTTATCATGGAGTTCTGTCTCCATTAATGACCTCTTCTAAGAATGGAATTTACCTGATCAAAGCATGAAAACCTATTGACTAAACACATTACCTTTTGGATTTTATTGTATACGGGAATGAGTAAGAACGGTGTGGTATATCTTTGAATATAAAAAGTAACGATACCTTTTTTTTTTCTTTACATCCATCAACTTTCATTACTATTACCTCCGACAGACAACAATATTTCATTAATAACTCCTAGAGTTTTAGCGGTTAATGTTACAAATATTCTTCAAAGAAAGAAAAGAAAAGAAAAGAAAGAAAGAAAGGAAAATGAGAATTAAAGACTAAATTCGTAAAAAAAAATAAAAATAAATAAATAAATAAATAAATAAAAAAAATTAATATTAATAATCTAATATTAATTTTAACATTACTATAAGTAGCTCAGCCTAATTGGAGGGAGGAGAAAAAGAAAGAAATGATAAGTATATAAAAAAATAAAAATTACAACTACAGGATTCTCTTTTGAATGGTTAAATTAGTTTGAATATTTCCAAATAATGGCTAATTTTTCTAACTAATATGTATTTACAACATAATATAATACAGGATGATTGTTAAATATAATATATTCTAATCATGAGATGTAATATGCCAACTAGATTTTCTAGTCAATGGCTGCCAATAACTGATATATTTTCAGTGGTTAAATTTATTATTTATTATTATTATGCCCATTTAGATATGATGTGCCTATATATGGTCATGATGTGATGTCATCATGACCATATTTAGGCATTTCACATGTTTTTGTCAAATCAAAGTTAATAGTCTGGACAGGGCTTAATCTATGGAAAGTTCTAGTGTGTGGCCACATCCGCTTTCTTATGGATGAGATACCATTCGAACAGAAAGCTTCTGCAAACTACATACCAATTGTATTCACTGGAATTGGGTAATCAGAATTCGTGAGCTGATAACAAGAACAGAACCAGGTAAGTGGAATACTATCTCTCAACGAATGTTCTTTCAAAATTACCTTTTAAGATAGTCTTAAAAGGTAATGATGGTCGCAGGTTCGAATCGATCCGGAGGCAGTTTTTAAGTTAGAAAAAGACCGGACAAGGATGTGGCTGCCTTTAGGTCTAACTTAAAGACACCTCTTTAACTAATTATCCCATTTTTATTCTTATTTTATTCATTGTTGCATTATTTATTTATGATTTCAAACTTTGCCACTGCTTCTTTTGATTTGTTCTATGCTTGGGTTAGGCAATGATGACGGCTCCTTGTGGGTTGTGAGGTGCCTAAATATGTGGAGTGCAGAGCTTCGTATCTGCAAAGAAAGGTGCTTTACAAATGTTCTGATTGGATTGGATGTTTAGTTGGGGAATTTCCATACCCTTTTTCTTTTTTTTAAATTGCCTTTTAAGACGGTCAGTCAATGATAGTCGCAGGTTCGAATCCCACCGGAGACGCACACACACGCGCACATACCTCCC